TGATTTAATTTCTCTTGCTGCCGCCAGGGAATATCCATCCAACATTCACTGAAAAAAGAAAAAGTTATGATACCTCCAGGAGATGTGAACTCTTTGAAATCTGCTACCATAGAATTTACAATAAACACAAAACAGAGGAAATGGAGCCAAACATTGCAGTCCAAGCGCCATTATTTGATTTTTGAGTAAACGATGATTTTATTGGGGTTTTATGAACAAATGAGTTACGAATTCCATAGTTGCAAATATTTGTTATTTATACCTTTACTTGTTGTTTGACCAGTGCTCTCTCAGCGCACACAAAATTCCTACCTTCATATTTGGATGTTTCGTGTACGTATTTGTGTTTTTTTTTGTATATGTAAATGTTGAAGTTTCGTGCAATATTGACTAGCTCCGCCAATGGGACGCCAAAATTATGAACCGTCAGAGAGACGAGGTTAATGAAACTTCTTGGGCAAATTAGTTCTCCGCTCGGAATTGCTGGGTTTTTGTGCGCTTTCCATCATCCAGTATTCTACAAAAGAAAAACACGACGTTTCGGAAACTGAATCCGTTTCCATCCTCAGATGAAGGGCGAAAGAACCTACTCAGTTCGGCCTCTTAGAAAGAACTAATCTCGCTTACTATACTGGATTGAGGTTAGCTCTTTCTAAAGGGCCCAACTGAATAGGCGTCTTCACCCTTTCACCTGAGGACTGAAACAAATTCAGTTTCCGAAATGTTGCGTTTTTATTTCGCAAAATACCGGACCAAGGAAAAGAGTCCAAAAACCCAGTAATTTTATTTGTTATACACCATAGTCGGAACCCTTTAGAATCCACGTCCTCTCCGCTCTTTATTAGTTTGCATTTGCCAATTTTTGTTCAGAAAAAATAACATCATTGCAAGCAAAACAGAACAGTAGTTTCGAATTTATGTTTTTCGATTCATTGAATCAACATGAAATTTCTTTGAATCTGTTCATGGGTGCCCAGTCCGTATGAAATCAGCTACGAAAACAGACATTTTATTGCCTTAATTACATAAGAGAAATATTCACAATTCAGACACTTCATCTAATTTTGTTATGGTGATTAAATTACAGATAATTAAATGGGTGGAATTCATGGCATTATTGCGAGGAACGAGAATACATACAACATACTGATGATAAAACTTTGGAGAGACAATATATATGTTACCTAGGCATTATTGGGTTTAACATTTTTCCAAAAATTTGATGCGAAAGAATTGACAGGATTCAACTGGCTCAGGGTTGTTGTTGTGGGAAAGGTAACGAATATTCGGCTTCCATGGACTCGGGAAATTTTCGAAACTACCCGCTCGTCACAGAAGGCCTTACTCCGTAGTGTTAATAAACAATTATTATTTAGGAATTAGAAATTTTATTGCCTCTATCGGGCTCTGAACTTTTTCATTACTTTCATGGTCTTCATCTTACATTTCATCATGTAAGTTTCTAAATACATTCAGTTCTTGATTGTACTCATCCAGTAAAATGCAGACCTACTAATGAAGCTCAGTCCTTATTTATTTATATGCTAACATAAAAGGCACAGAGACCAGTCAAAAAGTGATCAAGAATAAATAAAAGAAATAAAACACAAAAACAAAATAATAACAATAACAATAATGCCAACAACAACTTGCACTGTCGAAAGGTTAATTTCGCCCGCCGCTACACAATGAACACCGGAATACGTGTTTGCTTCGAACAATTCGTTTGTAACGGTCCTTTGTTGGACCTTGGCCGCTTTTAAGTTTCTTAATCCTATATAGAGCCAGTAGGATTCCTTGGACGGGGGATCAGCCCGTCACAAGGTCGCTACCTACACACAGAACAACACAAACACAGAATAAATGCACACAGGCATCCATGCCTTGAGCGGGTTTCGAACCCACGATTCCAGCGTTCGAGCAAGCAAAGACAGTTCATGCCTTAGACCGCGCGGCCACTGTGACCGGCTCGATCATTTCCTGTCTCTTGAAATTTCTTTGTATCGCAGTTTCTATATGAACACTCAGATATTCCTGTCCTTTGACTAGTTTAAATGTGAAGTGACTCTTTCATTATTTAACTACTTCGTTTCATTTCAAAATGTCATACAAAAGCAGCTAGGATTGGAACACTTTTATGCTCGTGAATAGGCGACAGAAAAAGAGAGAAAACATTAAGACATACCGGAGTGGTGGGGATGAAATGCAGCTTTTGCCATGGCAATCCTGGATTTAATTTCACTAGTACACCTTCCATCATCTGTTAACAAGCTACCCAAATATTTAAAACATTTCACATTCTCCAATTGTTTTGGGGCTATCTTTATTGTGATTGGGGTTGGTTGTCTCGAAATTTTCATTACTTTTGTTTTTTCCACATTCATTTCCAAGCCATAGCACCTTCCAATTTCGATTAGTCTATCAAGCAGCACGTAATATATAAACTAGTTTTGCTTAGCGTGTCGGTAGAGGTCCGTCTAGAGGCAACGCTCCGGATTGTATTCATGTGGTGGTCGCCTCGAATCTCAGCGAGACAACTGCTATCCCGACTGAGGTATGTAGTGGTTTTATTCAGCCCCTTCATAAAATTGCTTGATGAGGCCTCCATGACGCACTACTCCTTCCTTCCATATCCTTTCCAGTTCAATATGATTCTGATGTCATCCTGCCTCCGGACTTTATGTAGTCTTACAGTGAAAGCGTCGCAGGCTGGAAATCTGGGTCGAGTTGCTTCATATTATGCAGATTCCGGGTTTGAATCTCGGCCCGGAGTCAGTCTATCCTGACTGAAATCCTTTATGGGTTTTGTCATTTCTTTCAGCCACAGTGCATTCGATATAGCTACTGACTACGGGCTTGATGACCGAGGGATCGAAGTTCGAGTCCCTGTAGGGTCAAGAATTCTCTGTTCTCCACGTCGTCCAGACCGTCTCTGGGGTTCACCCAATTTTCTATCCACTATTCACCTCCATTTGGTGCTGAGGTCAAGAAAATGTGGATCTATACATCCACTCTCCCATACGCCGTCATGGCATAGTGCTTAATTAGTTAAGCACAGACAGAACTTTATCTTTTACATTTCTCCAGGCAGCTATCGGGGACTTACCTCAAAACAGGCTGCGACCACTTTCAGCCACATCCTTTCGAAATAGGTATTCACTAATGTTCTTCTCATTCGACGCTGTGTAGCTGAGAATTAGAGAGTTTCGCTAAATGAAGCAAATATGTATAAAAATAAATTAAATAATTTGTGCTACGTAAGTTTATTTTGTTCCTTAGATTAGGTCTGCGAATGCATACCCTGCTTCGTGCATGTAGAGTTTATAAAATCGTAATCCTTGTAAGGAGGCAGCTACTTGTGAGATCCATGTGTCTGTATAACTTCCAAGATTGCTTGTTGCAATAGAAAGCACAAAACATGGTGTAATAGAATCTAGGCACGTAGAGAAATAATTTTATATGTCGTACACGTTACTTGGGGAAGATTAAGGGATGTTTCTACTTCTCACGAGAAAAGGAAACGACACAAGCGGAACTCTGTTCTGGTAGGAAGGAGTACGCAGATTCGGCCCCATGGTTTCAGACCTAATGAGAGCATTTTATTGACATTTTTCAGCCGTTTGGTGATGCATGAAGATTAGTTTCAAATTTAATTATAATCTACAAAGAGAATAAAATAAAAAAAATTGTACTAAACGTTTGAAAATGCAAGAATAAAATCGAGAAAAAGAAATTACATAGTAAAATTATTTTAAATTTACAAATTTAGAGACGCATCCAGCAAATAGTCACAGCTGCCATAATTACAAGAACAAATAATAAAAACTGAACACATCAATAGATATTCAAATGAATTGTTTAACATAACATTATAAGACTACATTCTAATTATATGCACATCCTTAACCGTGTCACTTTACATTACAAATAGTCAGTATACACCGAAATATTTTTTTTCAGCAAGGGGTGGTTAGCTCCATGATATATTTCTTTCATTAAATGGTCATCGTCTGGTGGAAACTACAAATGAAATTAAATAAACACTACTGAAAGTGTGAAGAAATTTATGATTCAGTAAAGGCTATTTACACGTATCTGCATAAATTTGTGTCTCAAATCTTTCTAATGTATAAGACTGGTAATACGAGTAATAAGAGGACATACTTGTCAGTATCTGGATGTGTAAGGTAAAGAAAAACGTAAAGCTACTCCTGTAACAGACCGTTGAGGCTCATAAAGTTAAGAGCCGTCGAGGATCCAACATTTTCTAGAAAATCGGCTCAAGATGGCGGTGAGGTTAACCTTACGCCCCGGCCACCTTTTACCTCCAGGACGATTCCTAGTACTCATTTCTGTTAAAGAGGCTGAGTCGACCCCAGAGCCATAGTGCGTCTGGAAGAATCAGGTCAATTGAAAAATCCAATGACTTCATCGTGAATCGAACCCACAATCTTCCGTCTTTTAGCACAATGCCTGAGCCAACTACGCTACTGGGTGCTCCGATCTAGAGGTATATAAAGTCGAATATTAAAATGAAAAAGCGTCACAATATGTATATAACTGCAAGGTCCAGATGAATTCCAGATAGCCATTTCTGTAAAAATAATACCACGTGCAAAAACCATAAAAGCACATTACTTTTCACAATGAAAGTTGTAAAAGTTAAAATATTTATAATTTTTACGCAGTTTCCGTTGTGACACAGATAAAGACCCTATTTATCACCACCGTGATGACGAAAGCTGGGTACTGCAGAGGAAGACGAGACTTGAATTCACTAGCTGCTCGGGTCTCAAGAACTGCGTTTGCAGTCTTGTCCATGGGAACCGCATCACTTCTAGGGCGCTGTGAGACACACTGAGGGTAAAGCTGCAGAAGAAAAGGCAGCTCTCAAGTTGATGTTCCAGGTGTCCGGGTCTCATCATTTCTGTACAAGGTCTAATCCCTGGGAACACTAAATTGCGCCCCCCAGTGGATATTGACGTTTGTTGTCTTTGCAGGGACATACGTGCTTCTGTGGCGGAGGGGAAGCTCCGTGCTGACGGCATCCAATCTCATGGTGACCCGGGACCTTCGCTTCCGTCTGGTGGACGGATACAATCTGCAGATAAACAACGTGATGCCTCAGGACGCGGGTGACTACGTGTGTCAGATCAGCGACGGCGACAACCGTGACCAGATTCACACTGTCGAAATACTCGGTGAGTGCAATGTACTGAAGGCATGCTGCATAAAAAACCAGATATTAATATAGGATGTCCGGATGAAAGGTATCCAAAATAAAAAACGAATATCTCGGAAACTAATTATCACACGTATCCAGTTTATGTCGTCGGAAAGGAAAACTGAATTTTTTCATTCCCTGCTTACGCGCAAGCGCCGCCACATTTCTGCCACCATTTTAGGAATCACCTGGACAGAAAGATGGCTAGCAGATGGACAGGCAGAGATGAACCAATTGCTTGGCCTTCTATGTCGCCAGATTTGACCCAAGTGGATTTTTTCTTGTGTGTTTATGTGAAGAACATTGTCTACCAGGTTAAGATCAACGAGCTTCAACACCTGAAACACGCAAAGGGATACCGTGGCTAAGGTAACACCAAACATGCTTCAAGCAACGTAGAACGAGGTCGAATATCGTCTGGATATTTGTCGTGCCACCAAGGGGGCCCACATTTAAATTTATTGAAAGAGTTTTATATGGTACGCGGAAAAAAGAAATGATAGTTTCCCTTTGTAATTAATAACCTACTAATGTGTATAATCATTTTTTTCTCGGATATAATGATTTTATTTTGGATACCTTTCATCCGGACACTCTCTATATTAGCTTGCTTAACAATGTGTGTATTTCTTTATCTTATTTACATTTGTATCTTTATTATCTTGCATTGAAAGCGTTTTCAGGAAGAGAGAATTCTCCCAGTGGCTGAAGAGAGGACTTTTTCAGCTAACCGTTTCATTTGAAGATGTCAGGAGAATAGAAATGACTTTGATGGCGCTTATAAAGAAAAGTGAAATTCTCCCTGATCTTAATTAATTAAGCATCACACCATGGATACCTATGGGAAAGTGGAGATATGCTCGTGGCTGTACAATGCTTGCCCTCGGCACTAGATGGAGGTTGGTTGTGAGCTTCACGTTATCTCTCTTTATTTTTATCTCTGGGATAACATCCCCTGTGCCAATTCGATATGAATGTGTGTGTGTGGGCCCTAGAACCTTTATGGACCCTATGGAAAAAAAGTAAAATCTTGCTCCTGCAGGGAATCGAACACCGGCTGACCAGCCCGTAGCCTGTCGGTAGACTGACTGAGCTAAAAGAATGACGCGCAGTCATGGGACATTCTATCCGAAGAATAGTTTGAAAAATAAGTTATTAAGTCACAATTTACTTTGTGTTTACATCTTTTCATTCTCTCATTCTAATTACTAAGTAGCTTCTATATTTACTGTGTTAAATTTTCCTATATGTTTCTCTAAATCCAGCTGTTGAATCTAAGAATTATACTACTAAAATTAATTTCTGAACTATTATCTTAGATTCAATTCTGAAGAAATTAATTGAGAAATGCGTCATCCGTGAAGCAAATAATAAATACAGAAGTAATCGAAAACCCCTTGAAGAAGTATTTAAGCTTTATAAACTTACAGCATTCCCGTCAGTAAAATTTTCACTGAAAAATAGCGCGACTTGGTGCCATTAATATGGCTCCCAGTCTCGTCTGTTTACCACAATGAACCTGTTTGCGAAAAGATTTCCTTCAGAAACGGACTTACATCTCTGAGTAGGTAAACTAGCCATTATTACTTTCAAGATTAATTATATTGTAGCGAGTAGACCCGTTACTAGGTAGCGACCGCGAAACAGAGAGGTTCCCACGGCGACGAATTCACGCACAACAATAAAGGAACTGCTGGAAACGGCGTTTTCTAGGCTGTCCGTGCCGAAATGTTATAACCGAGACAAGTTTAGAAGTTAGTTGAAAGTCGGTCTGTGAAGCGAAGGCTACGAGGTTGTTGTAAGATGGCTTCCAGCCTGGGAGTAAGTCAATTGGAGCAACAGTGAAGTTGTGGGATATTCGCCGGGCAGTAGTAACGTCGTGAGCACAGAAGCTGAAGAATCTCCATTGTTAATATCAGTTACCAGGAAACGACTGGTGAGAGCAGACTGAGAAGGCTTAGTGTGTGCTGTAGTGATTTGTAAAATGTGGAGATTAAAAATAGTATTATAGTTACTTGTAGTTAGGATCCGTAAGTCGTCAATAAATCTAATCTCCAATCCAAACCCCATCTATAGTCACGCATGCACGTGACAATATTTATTCATTTACTTATCCCCTAAAATGTTGATAGTTCTGTGTAGTATTCTAAAACGAACCCTTCTTCTCTTATTAAATTTTGTTCTCCACAAGATAGTCCTTCTTGAGAATATAAACATTTATTAAATGAATGACAGCAAGCATTTATCATTCTCATGCTACCATATCAAATGTAAGCCAGAGGCGAAAGCATTATTCTTGCATGTTGCGATACTTGTGCCTGTGGACTTCAGAATGAAGGGCTGAAGTCAAGCATTCGTAGGGTAAACGCGTGACATTTAAAATGAATTCTTTCAATTCCTTATTCGTCTCTTGAAGAGAAGAGACATTTTAAAGAATAGCGATAGCGACATTAAGAAAATGTCGTACATTCGAAAGCGTCTTGGCAACAAAACGCCATACAAACCCACAACTTAGATACTGGGTATGAAAGCTGACGTGTTTTCTCACGTGACCTATTCGAAATTTCATATCTATTCCGGGGAAAAAGAGATGAATTACTTCTCTACTTTCTTGCGCACAGTATGCACAAACTAACACGTTCCTTTAGTGTCTATTGTCGATTTTATTAATAGCTGATTGCCATGTTTATTTAATCCCTAAAGGTTCGGCCAGACAGAGCGCTACGTACGCTATGTTCGCTATACGAACAGAAAAATATCTCCCTTTATTGTCAATGTGACTTGTCACACAGACTTCCGTGCGCTACGTACGCTATGTTCCCTATGTTAGCTGCGTCGCAGAGTGTACACATCGTACGTAGCGAACATAGCTTAGCGCTCTGTGTGGCCGAAACTTAAGTGTGACGTTACAATTTTTTTGTTGATTGGTTGTATAACGACGCCGAATATTCAGAATGTGGTGGTGATGATGACAAATTGACGAAGGAGGGAACTGAGAGGGAAGAATTTGAATAGTTTAAAGGGATATATCTTATTGCAGTGTCTTTAATCAGCCTTAAAACTCTTTATTACACAAACATATTAATGTGTGTGTGAAGAGTCATGAGTTATGAATATTCTGAAATGAATGACTAAGTAACTAAGCAGAGTTCTATCTTCTGGACTATAACGCCTTGCAGTCCGTTGAGAGTCAGCTGACGTTTCGGATGATCATATTGCATTCTTTTTCAGGGTCGAAGAATAAACCAAACAACCTGATATGAAGAAAGTAGAAATTCGTTCTACTCCGAAACGTCGGCTAACTTTGTGGGCGCATCATAACATGACATTACGTATTCTGTTAGTGTTACTCTCTAGTCTATAGCACACTTATTATTATTATTAATAATATTCAATTTTACTTCTTTATTTAATTGTAGTTTTAAATCGTATTTGCATTGTATTCATTCTGTGTAGTGTGTCCTTTATTGCTTATGTAGTTTTGTGTGCTGTGTTTTGTTTGAGTGGGGTGTGTTATTTTGCGTAATGTGTGTTATGTGTGTGTTGTGTCTTATTGTAGTATCACCCCCAACCGTTAAAAACCAATTTGCAATTTAAATAAAATAATAAAAACTTTAAAGGAACTTCAAGGCGTTATATCCGAAAAGGTAAAAGTGTTCACAGCCACCGCTGTGTGGACCACAAATCCTGCATGTAACTACGCTGTTTCAGCTGATTGTATTACGTAGTTACGTAGCGTCGAATAAAATTGAAGTTAACAGTGAATGATGAGTATGTATTGATTCGAAAGGAGACCCGATTAAGAGGACAGGGGAATATCAGTAAAGACAGGAAGAAACCCCTTCTATCCGATTTTTCTCACCTTGTCTGGTGGTTATGCACGTACGTACTGTATCTTAATGAAGATTGTAGGAGTCTGAATTATGACGCCATATAATTTTATATGTGGCTACTAACGTTTCGCGGACATGTTGGTTAAGGATACAATTCTTTCATTTCTACCCTAAAAATGCAGATTCTTCCGAAACATTAGCATCCACCTACAAACGTAACGGTATCATAAAACAGAACATCGCAGTCTTCGCGTTTGCCTCCGCAAAAACCTCAGAGCACATATACTGTATTCTAGATATGAGTGTTTTGCTGAAGATACGAATCTTCTTCTTCTGCGGATGTTAAAAGAGTCCATGATGCTTGGCTTCTCTTGCGGTTGCTCTCCCTAGATTCCGTTCCCTTGACATGTCCAGTTTCTAACGCCAATTTTCTTCAGATCTTATTCAACTGAATCCAGTCACCTGATATCAGGTGCCTACCACTCGTCTAGTACCTTCAGGAATATGTAGTCAACTTTCTACAACGGTTCTGCTTCTGTAATCTAAAAATATGTTCTAGCCGTCTTAACCGCCTTGCTTTGATCATTTTCACTATATTTGGTTCATTATATAGTTTATAAAGTTAAGGGTTGCACCTTCGGTTTCGGTAAAATGCTGGGAAATTCTTAAGTGGCTGAGCAAATATTGGCTTAACAAGGACTCTGCTCCATGGAGTGACTTAGTTACTTGGTTGATGTAATCCTCTTGTCTTTAAAAAGGTATTTCTAACCATATGTCGAGAAAAAGACCAGTACTTTTCACTGTGGTGGTATTGTTAAATTTAATATTTGCTTTCAGATGAAAGTTGTTTGTCTAGTCTGGTGCTGAGCGATTTGAGCGAGAAGTCCGATTTCAAAGTGGTTGGCCTGGTAACCACGCAGTTCCTTCTGTTGACCACGTGACTGTGTGATCTGACTCACACACGAAGCGTAACCAAAGCTACCGGGCCGGGAAGCGAGGAAAACAAAAGAGGTTCGGCGTAATTATTATTCCACATGAAGCGACTCCATTTAAACAAAAGACATGCCAGTGGCAGTGTAAATCTCGGCTTGTGTGTCTTATCAGAGTGGGACTGTGGTCGGCCGGCAAAGCCTCCTGCACTCTC